CTTAGCAATATGCAAAGGACAGGGAAGGCATGCCCTTATTACACCACAAACCAGATGAGACTCCCCTACACTTTAACTCTATGGAAAGGAGAAAATGGTGGCAACCCTATATTTTAAACCAACTTGAAGACATGGTGGTTATGAAGCCAGCACTCTGACTACATTAATGTGCTACTGTTATTGCTAACAGTGAAGTGTCATGGCCATTGTAGATATAATCAGTATACAGTAATTGTCAGATTTCTCCATTTACTCACAGGGCTATTAATTAAGCAAACATTAGGCTGGGTCTACTGTTTTCATGTTTTGTTCTTTTATTCTCTACTCTAACTTCACAAGCCTTCAAACTCATGACCTTTTGTTTCAATTTATGTAAGACAACCGTGTTGTATAAGTACCACAAATGGGAAGTCCGTGAGCTTTGCTGCTTTCAGCTGGTCATGCAATTGTTTTTACAAACTATCTTCAGCTCAAAAGTGGACCACTGACCCCAGCAATTTACACACATTCACAGTCAATGTACACAGAAAAGGCAAGTCCAAAAGTTGCAAAGGTACACTCTTAGCTTTGCACACTTAGCCATGTCCAGACTTTGCACAATATGGTTCAGACTCCTGCCAACCAGGGGCCTAAGCTGGTACCTGGCTCCTATAACTGGTCCAACACACTTTTTGCTGACCAATTGCCCTGGCCAGATGTGTGAAATCACTCTGGCTAGCTGTCTGGCTGCCTGTCTTCTGAGCTCTAGGAAATGCTGGAGTACACTGCCTCATGTACCACTCAGTTATGTCTCTGTCAGGTATGATAGGGCAGCTGTCATGTCAGTCTATTAATGCCTGAAAAACTCTTTGAGGTCTGCAACTGGAAGATGCTATGGAGTCAGGGTTATATCAATTCAGCCCCTGCATATGTTTGAAGATCAGCAGGAACTTAAACTTCCCCAACACTATTCATTGCTACATCACTGCATTAAAGCATACAAGTAATAAGGGGGTTTTGGCAACATCCTTTTATTGGGCCAACTGTGTACTTGGGAGAGCTGTCAAAGAAACTTTTTGGGCACCAGAAGAAAGGCACCTTGTACCTGAAAGCTCATCTAACACCTCTCCCAACTACAGTCAATCCAATAAAGGACACTGCTAAAACCCCCTTGCTTCTCCCACGCTGCCTGCACCATTACAGCTACAACTCTCCAACCCTGCATTAAACCATGACAGTCTTCCCTGTCCCTGCATTACTCAGCCCAAAGGAATCTCAAATTCAGACACATTTACATTGTAATAGAACGTGTTTCCTGTCACATGCTGTCCCCGTACAATAGGTTTGGCATTAAACCCTCCCCAATTTGCTGCTGACAGCGGGATTGTCAGTAACACTGCACTCAAGTCCAATTGCAGCAGTTGCTCACTGCTGTCCCGGGATTCACTTTCTAACACATTCAAACATATGTTTTTAAGTAATGCTGTTTGTGGTCTCTCTACTTTCTTATCGCTCCTGTGACCTTTGCTTGTTACAGATTAGTGGCTGGAGCCAGTTGGATTTGTTTGATTTTTGTTGATGGTTATTAGGAAAAGGAAGTGCCAGAAGGGATTTTGACCTTGAGTTTAAACCCATTCCCGATTACAGCCACTGGGTCTTTAATTACAGATCTCTAGCTGCTTTGGTCTGAAAAAGGGCTGGTCCAAGACGCATTTCTTTTTATCATTCTCCAAATCTTCGGCACACACAGGAATGTTTTGTCTCTGCATTGTGTTATTGTAAACTCAGGGGATGTTCAGTTAATATAGCCTTTGCCTGCTAAATACAGGGTAGGTTAGCAAGAATGAGCATGAGATGGATTGAAAGAAGTATACTAACAAATTCAACCATATAAGTATGAACTTGAGCATCCAGTCTAACCCAGCTGTGATCAGCCCAAGGCTGAGTGAAGGCAGCCAAAGTTGTTTTAACCCACATTTATACTCCTTTGACCCTATCGCCCGCTGCCCCAGTGGGCTGCTACTGCAGCTGGACACCAGCAATACTCCAGTCATGCCTATACACCAGACACTGGGCAAAGAGTCCACCAACCCTGTGGGAAATTCCAAACTTTTGGCTTTATAGCAGCATATTCAGTGGGGCACAGGACCAGTCACGATCTTACATAGCAAACACACACACTCACAAGAGAGGGGGCTTGCTCACCAAGCTAAGATCTCAACTTCTCCCAAGTTCAAGAGATTTTGGAGGGGAGGTTGTATCAAAGATATCCTTGCCCTCTTCTTCAGACATGACACTGAGGTGTTATTTACAGGGAGTACAAGTTGGGGTGCCCTCCCTGCTTTTATCCAGCTTCTATCTGATTTCTCAGCATCTCTCCCTGTGGGATCCAAACTTGCTCACCTGACCAGGAGGTGAAGGAGCAGCTGGCACTGAGGTGCTAGTCACCAGGTGAGCACTTCATCCCAGCTCACCCCCCTCCATCATAGACCAAATTACATAGAGTGGGTTTGTCAGCAGCTCCCTTCCAGCTGAAGGCAAAAGTTGTAACGCTGAGAATTAATCCCTCCCGGGCCTGCACAGACGGAGGGGGCCAGAGTTAGATTAATGATAGAGCTGCAGTACAGGGGATTACAGAGCTCTCAGAGCTCTCAGAGCTCAATTGTGGGGCAGAGTCGCAGTTTCCAAAACATATCCTCATTAGTTCACTTCCTGACTAGAGAGATGCACAGAGAAACACATGCAGACCAAGAGCAAGCACATCTGGAGAGCAGAGGCCCTCTTCCTCTTCCCAGGCCCCATCCAACTGGCGCTGTAAAACTGGAGGTGCTTCCCCCTCCCCATCCCACACAACTCCAGCTGTGCTCAAGCATAAACAAGAGATTTCATTACTTAAATTAGGGCTGGTTCCCAGGGCCAGCACTGACTATTTTGCCACCCTGAGCAAAATAAATGCTGCTGCTTCCTCCTTGACACACACAGCTAACTGCAGTGACCTGTCAGGTGCCATTGAGCACTGGCTAGCTCTAGAAATGCCACCCCAAGCAGCTGCCCGATTAGTCCAACCAACTTCCTGCCAACCTGAATGGGCACTGCATCAGACCCTCTAGCAGGTAAGGCCAGAGGATAAAATCACAGCTAGGCCATTTGGCAAAGCTAAAATGTAGCATCCTTTACAATCAAGACAGTCCTGCATTAGCTTATGCCGCATTTGGTACCATAGCTCTTTTGCTATGATGAACTTGGATTCCTAAACAGAAGTAGAGAAGACAACCACTAACAAAGAAATGTAGCACTTCCCCATTAAAGGACCCTCCACTAATTTCCATTCAATGTAAGGAAAGCACTTTTCACACAGCTGGGACAAAATTTGCAATGCTCACTCAGAGCATAACTTCATCCCTGCTCTGTAACAGCATCAGTCTTAACACTGTGTTGCTTTCTTTGATATCACTTTCTCATAAAGTGAACATTTTACATCAGTCCAAATGTTTCCCACCTTTAATATCATAGAAAAGAACAAGACTCAGAATAGAACATAACCTCAGTGATAATACATGAAATTTTAGAAGGGCATGAAGTTTAGCTAACGTATATGGCTTATATGTGTATGGGAAAATGATAATAAGCTTAAAATGTCTATACTGAAAGACAGCTACATGGCTACCTTTAAAACGGGCATTCTGACTAAGTTTCTCCAGGGTAATGTATTCTTGGCCTCTATCCACTCTTAGTCAGACACGTGGGGTCTGCTATGCTGAAGCAGTAACACTAATGCAATCCTGGAGATTAGTCAGACTAATGTGAAAGATGTCATCACAAGAAGGCCCCAACGCTGCACTGGATCAATGAGACAGCTTCTGCAAGTAAGGATTACCTGTGGAGGTGAGAACAGATCATTCATAATGCAGTTCAAACAGCACAAAGTAAATAATGGTTAAGAAAGTCTACAGATTCAAGATCCCATGAGAAAATAACCCAAGCACCTACAAATGGTGGGATAGCAATGAAATATGTATTCCCACAAGCTACTAATGATAGGACAATCCCATCACATATGACTACAATTGCTAATGCTTCTCCCCTTCCTTCAGAGCTGTGCTGCCCATTATCAGCACTGGCACTCTCAATGCCACGGTTAGGTAATTGTTAACACAGTCCAAGTATTATAGCAATTCATATAAAGCAACAGAATCCACTATCATGAACATACCTTGCTTTGAAAAGGCTAGTATCTCATTGACTTCTCTCTCTCGACACCAAGATGCCATAGGGATTGGTGCTCTATACCTACCTGAGATAGACAAAAGGCATAAAGGGACCGCTATAGCCTGAGAAATAAAAAGTGTTTTTGAAGTGTTATGTTCCCACCCTGTGTAATTCCCACCATGTCACATATTACATCATATACTTGAACATCTAAATGTACTTGTCAGGGTCTGTATCAGTCGCTTGCTCTCTGCCCTTCACTCCATTTGAACTATGGTGATGGGTTAGTCCATTTGACTGGTCCACAAGTTATTAATCAGTGTCATGGACCTCAGGCGATGCTCTAGTTCTGCAATGGAGTTCTGGGCTTTTGTTTTAAAGTTTAAATGAAAACAGATCTAGCAACATCAGGTTTAGTAACAGTAGTTTTGTTTAGTTAAAAGAAAATGTAAATTTGGGCTTGTTGCTGCTTCTATACAAGCCATGGCCAGAGCATGCCCTGTCCAGCTAAGGCAACAGGCACACTTCAGATGTGGAAGCTTTTCAGTTAGGCTTCTCCAGAGATGTCCTACCTAAAATGTACAGCCAGACTGAGGTCTCTCCAGAAGGAACATCTCCCTTCCACCAGGCACTTCTATTAATTCAAAGGGAAAGCAGCAGCATTTCAACTCCATGTATCCCTGAGAGCGGATGTCCTACCTTGCTGCATGACCACTCATCACAAACAGCCCAACAGCTGTTTTGTCATAAATCCTTCTTTCCCCTCCCATGCACTATTTCAAACCACAGGTGTATCAGACAATTTAACTGTTTGTTCACTGGAAGAGGGCATACTTTAGCAGCCAGCTCTGCGTTTTTTGTTTTTGTTTTTACTTTTGCAGGGAGTAGCATGAAGTGCTACACACATATCAAACGATGTAGGGGAAGGTCAGCCAATTTCATTCAACTATACCTCCTCCTTGGAGAATTCATTGTGGCAGAAAACTCATGCAGTTAGGAAACAAAAGCTATGGACCAAACTCTGTATCCTTACTCAAGCAAAACTCATGATGATGTCAATACTTTTATTGTGTATACTGTACTCTGCACCCTTTGGAGTCTATGGGAGAAGACCTGGACCACAAACTTTGGCATATATCTGTTGTCAGGAATAGGGTAGTAGAAGGAAGCAGAGAGATCAGTATTTGGGATCACAGAACCCCAAACTGTAGGAACAGCTTGGAGAGAACTTCTGTCACCTTCCAACATGTTAGGGACTTACACATGATGCAGTGTTTAGTTAGATACAGGTAAGAACTGTACCAATCCCCAAGTTTGAATCTTTGAGAATGGAGACAGTCCCATCCACTTGCCTTACCAAGGGTCTGAAACCACCAGAGATCAGTCCCAAATAACCCCATGGTTTTAAACCAAGTTAAAGTATATCAGCACAGGACTATGAGTTTACTCAGTGCTATCTGAATGCTCATTAAGTGGTAGATCTGATCAGTGAAATTCATGATTTCCATGCACATATCTCTCATACCCTAGTGCTTTAAGAAACTCCCTATTAAACTTGAGAGATGACAGCTGTGGAGTTGAATGCCAGACTAGCTAAAGAAATGCTCTATGTTCCATAGGGATTCTAGCTATGCCAAAGTCCAAGCTCAACTGAGTGCCATGAAAGAGCAACTCCATGCTACAGACATGATTTGTGGGCAGTTAACACTCATTACAAGTGCAGTCCCAGGCAGTCATCTTATTTTCTTTGTGCACCTTCCCACATTGACCATTTGAGCTAATTAGTCTCCAGTGACTATAAGCATGTTCTCAAAAATACCACAGCTGTGTAATTAAGTAAACCAACCTTGCTCCCCTGGCTGCATGACAGACATTGACTCCAGCAGCACTGAAGCCACATCCCCGGGACACATTTGAAATTTCAAACTTTGCAGTGGCGTAAGGAAGGTAAACTCATGTGACTGATGAATATGTGCGAATAAACATGGTCTCAGATAAGGCACTGATACCGTGTGCTTGTACTTCCTCCAGGTCTATTTAAACATCGATAGAGCCTGACAAACAAAAGCGCTTTTGTGCATCTAGTTACCAGAGCCTGGGGTTTTTGTTTTTTCTTTTCATGCTGTCCAGCTTCGTGCTTAGCAAAAGCAGACTGCCATTGTGTCCATTATCCCAGCTTGTGCTTGCACACGTAGAGGTCACCACAGCACTAAGACTGAAGACTCCACCCCAGCAGGAGGAGACATTCTTCTTACTAACCATCTTCTGCCCATTCTCGATTCTGCAGGATATGGGACAGGATTGTATGGCCTGCCCCAATCCAGCTGGCTTCTTCTCCAGCATAGAAGGCAGCCCTATGAGGTCTTCCTGATCGCCACTGGGGGACTAGTTTTGAGAAAGGAGTGAGAGCCAGAACTGGGCAGATTAGCCAGCTATCTCCATTCATAAAGGAGACTTGAGAATGAGGGCTGAAGGACAGCTGAACTCCAAATAGAACCACATTGTAAAATCCTCCTGAAGAGACTTTGCATTTTCCTCTTGGTAAGCATAGTTCTAAGCCTCAATAAAGCTTGACCAGGATTTCAATTACCTGGATTATCTTTGTGTATTTGCCTCCAGTGGACATATGAAAATGACTGCTGTCCTCTGGAGAAGCCCCTAATTATTTCCTGTATCCTTTTTTCCATTATCCTTTCCCAAGTACTATAAACGTTATTTTGAGGCTGGAGGCATTTCTTTGTTTCCAGCTGGCTGTAATTTCACATCAGGCAGCAAAAACAGAAGCAGATGTGAAATATTTTATATATTTATATATGAAGAACCAGCAAGACAACTATAGCATGGAAGTTCAACCATCTTAACATTTTTGAATTTGCTTACCAATTGTGTGATCTATTCTACAGTTGCTGCAGACCCTTCTCTTTCACTGACTATACAGACGGTACATCTCAGGAAGCACAGAGAGCCATATACGACCGGAGCCTACAGTAGAAGCAGATGTAATAAATAAGGAGGAAGAAATGTTTCATAACACTAAGTTCTGCTTACCCCAGTTTTGTTCAGTTTCTCGTTTTAAGAAACTCACAAGAGTAAAATAGCCCTGGTACATTTTTTAAGTATACTTTCTTTTATCATAGGACATACTGATGAGGGGACTACTCTACTCCAAGTAGAACTTGAAAGAATTTTTATTCCTGCCTAAATTGGTAATAACTAATCTTTCCAGAAATATACAAAAATAGAATTCATACAATTGTACTTCTTGTTCTGGAGAAGTGGATACAATTATTTTCCACATGAAAAAAGGGTATGCATTGGAAGGAAAACCACTGCTTCCTTATTATGCAAGTTTTTTGGAAACATTTATTATAAGTGATGTTTAATATCTTTTAAATCATGAGAATATTTTAAGACACTAATGCCGTTTTTAAAACAGTAGATGTTGAGGCACATACAGCTGTCCACCTATGTAATTCTATCTATATAATCAGATAGTGAGATGAATACTTTGTTTGCATAATGAATTTGCACCCAGTTCGCATACACATACACAAAATGATGAAAAATACATGCTCAAAAAAACCAGTTTTTTTAGATATCCAAATGCAAATGAAACAGCTAGCTTTCAATCTGCACTTGCTATATCGTATATGGAATGCCATTAAAAAGCCACATATTATCAGCATTTTCACACAGAAATGTCTGATATAAATCGGAAAAAATGTTTTAAATCTATGCAGTAATAGACATAAATTGTAATTACCTAAAGAAAATTGTGCAAAAGCAACAAGTTCTGGCTCCAAACTAAAAACTTAGGTACCTCCTACAGTCCAACAAAAATAGCAACCCTGAGAATTTCATCTTAAACCTATTACTCTAAAGAGAACATGCTTGACTTGGTCATTTCAAAGCACCAGAACTAGTTTAGCATGAGGATTAGGTAATAAAGCTGTAAGAAACAATTATAGCCTGCATCTACTTTCCTGTTAGGTAAAAGAGAAGAGTTGACATTTGTTGCTCGTTCTGAAAAAAGGCCCAAGAAACCATTGATTTGTTACTATGTACAGCTGCTATGGTTAAGATAATCTTATTAACCAGACAAGTCAAAGGAGATGAAAAGTATGGAGACCTCTACTAGGGGGATAATGGAGAATGCAAAATTAATGCACAAACCAGTATTGCCAGGAATGAGTTATGCAGTTTATGACAAAAGGGAACCCAGCGATGGAGTATTTGCAGAAGGCAGGCATGTTTGTTAGTGCTCACATTGCTACTACTAAATATAATTTAAATTTTTGATACAGTAATACCTGCAATATTAGCTGTTTCTATCACAATTTTTGTAACAAAGGTAGGCCAAAGGGAACTTGTGTATATTGGTAAATTGCTAAGCAGCAAATACTAAAAGGAAGAACAGTCCTGTTCATTTCTTGAGCAGTCAACATACTCAAAACAGTATTTTATGAAGGGACTACCCTGAATGAACTTAATGACCTTTTCCTGTTCCCAACATTGCTAAGTGTTTTTATATAATGAGTAATGTGTCACCAATAAAACTCAGCCTTGTAAATACATCGTATTCAAGCAGTTTTTAAAAAGGCTCTTTAATTTGACTGCTACTAGATTTGGCTTATTGTATGTATTTTCTGTAACACGTTTGTTTATCTTTCCCTCTAATTAAACTGTACTGTGCTCTAAATATGAAGCAATAAAAAAAACTAGGTGTTATTAAAGCCTATTTCATGATGTAATGAGATGGCAGCAAGGCCCACATACTCTCTAGATATGATCTAAAATACAGAAGAGCTAGACACATTAAACTACCATAGACTAAACTGCTGTTTAACTTTTCCCAACTAAGTTATAGACCTGTATCTGTGATATACATCTCCTGCATGCCCTCAAATTCCACTGACCTCGAGGGCACATGGCACCCCACAGAATCAATGCCAAGGTGGTCTTAAGTGATCATGCTACGTGATATTATAAAATAGGCCAAGATGCAGTGAATTATTTACATGAAGGCAGCCAATAAAAACAAGTGAAAGTCATTGGCATTGTGGTGGCCAAAATGTAATGAATTCAACTTTGAGACATCTTGCAAGTAGAGAGGCCTTTGGGTGAAAGCAGAGAAACCCATGAAAGGTTATTCTTTTTCTTTTCTTTTTTTTAAAGAACTAATAGTATTCGTCAACCACTTCTTGGAAACATAACTGTTAAAAAACAAACTCAGCTGGACTGAAAGGAGGAAAGAAAATTTCAAGCTTTTTAAGCAATTGGGAGGTCTCTCACGAACTTGTTTCACTTCTCAGCTTTAATCCTCTTTATTTCATGCGAAAGCTATGGACAATTAGCACCAACCTTTTCATGTGAAGCTGAACTCCTATTAGAATAGGATGAAAGGACACAAGGACAGATTTCATACAGTCTGCCCCATGACAGTCCTCCATTCTTTGTAGACAGATTTAATTTCCTCCAACACATGGTGTTCTCTCTCTCACCCCTCATCCCCTGCTTTTCCTTTCCTCTTGGGAACCGGAAATAAGACATCAAGGAACAATTTTCTAAAATAGCTAGAAAAAGAAAACTCCAAGTACAGCTTGTAAATGGTTGCAAAGAAAACAGTGAATCATACAAACATTTCTAATATTTGGACCAAACAGGAAATACTCTTCTTCAGCATTGCCTGGGTCTTTTTGTATAAAGGCTCATGATGTAAATATTAAACCTATTACCTTATTAAAGATGTGCAGTGAAATAATCTTTTGGTCAGAGCAGAGAACCGAGCCAGCAAATCCTGAATCTAATCCCATCTCTGCCAAAAACTCACTGTGCAACCTTAAACATGTTAGTCTCTTGTTTCTTAATCTGCAACATGGCATGGGCAACACTTGGTCATTTTAATCCTAGAATGAAGTGTTAGGATAAATGCAAAGTACCAACAACCATAAGGAAAGGCCCGGAAACCCCCAAAATAAAAATCCCAGTTTTACCTTCAAGCAGAACAGTTTGGTTCCTGAATGGAACAGACTGGGCCAAGGAAATAAATCAGACCTCTTGAGAGACTAAACAGTAGAGATTGGCCCAAACACCAACACCCTCAGACTCGGGAAGTCTGGAGCAGCGTTTTGTGGCTGAGGCCCATCAGTACTAAATGACACACATTGGTTTTTATTTCAAGAACTTCACAATTAAAATATCATGGACGACAAAAAAAAAAGAAAAAAAAAAAAGAGTATTTTAGATACTAGACACGAAGCTGAAGAAGTTCTTACTGAGACAGAGATTATGTACATTTTTTTCAAGCAATCTTCAACAGCTCCAATTAAAGGTTGCCTGCAGTTTCACCCTTTGAGATTACATTAAGAACTGGATATAAGGAGAAATCTCCTATTAGAAATCACAAGATTTCATCTGCCATTTGTGCAAGTAAACTCACACTCTTACTCTGGACACTTCAACAGGTTTCTAAAAGTTGGATGCCATTGGAATCCATTTTAATGGAAGGACTAATTAAAAAGATTTACAAAATAAGACCTAATTCGTACAATCACTGAAATTCACAATCTCAATTATAGGACCATCCCTACCAGCATCACCAAGACTAGGGGGAAAAAAGTCATGTCTAAGGTATTTTAAAGTCTCTTTCAAAATTGGTAAAATAAGACTAAAGTAGTTGCATTTGGGAAAAATATACTAAAACTTTATGTATATTAATCCCTCCCCTGGAAACAGCAAAATGGATATGTTCATAGAGAGAGTCTGAGATATTAAATACACTTTTACAATGATTACAGAGTCATTTAAATTGTACTGTGACTTCAAACTGACATTTTAAGAATGGTAGCAGCTCTCTGCAAATTAAAGCAACTCAGCTTCAACAGGCGGATCAAATACCATTGTCAGAACCTCACTGATATGATTCTTTCAAACAGCTCAGGAAATGACCACAGGAAGAGAGGATGTGACACCTTTCTGGAAAAAACTGCAACTCTATGCCAGGTGACAATTGTAAACACGGCTTCCTACAACATCCTCTTTTTCAGTGCATCTTTGTAAGAGGGAGAAAGATGCTTCATATTTCTGATCAAGACTGCAATTTTTGTTCTAGTATAATGTTTTCAAAGGGGGGTGCAAATTCTTAAAGAAATATCATTCCTTATATAGCCTTTAGTACAGGCAATTACACTGACATAGATTTCTTGAAAGCTTAGTCCGGTTCCCACAAAATCTGCCTGCTGTTTGAACCTGTCCAGGTCTTTAGAGTATTAGGAAGAGTCCCGGTTGGCAAACTGTAGGTTAGGAAAACAAAAGGCATTTGGTGAATGAAAATTATCACCTGATTCAATGTGGTATGAAATGGTTTAACTCTCATGAAAGCTAAACTGTTTCTCATTTGAGCTTGAAATTTGGAGAAGTTGACTTGCCTAGTTTTAAAAAAAAGTCCAAACAATTCACCCATTTTTACAGAACATCCCTCTGCCTACCACATAATGAAATTCCTTGAAAAAAGTAGTCAGAATTACTATTTGAGAATAGTAATTGGACTGCGGGTATCTGATAAGTCTTTAAGACACCAAACAGAAATAGGAATGCCAAATATTCCAGTACTCTGAATGCACAAGACCAAATAAGGTCCAAATGCCAAGAGAATAAACATAAGGCTAATCCACCAAGTTTGGGCAAATGTGATTTAGAGTTCTCCAATGCTACAGATTTTGGTTTACAGGATAAACCTAATAAATTCTCCCTGTGTACTCCTATTCCTATTTAAAAAGGAAGTCTGTATATAACCTCCATAGATATTTGTCAGTCCAACTGCTTATTTATCAAGCCTGTACAGTTTTGAAGTTCTGCTGTGCACCAAGATTATGAATAAATCATTTTGCAAACAGATAAAGAGGTTATACATTCAAAACTAACCAAACAATTTAAGATTGTTCACACAATCACTTGTTTCTAAGCTGCCAGAGATATTGGTTAAACTGGTCATTGCCTGAAGGACTTGATAATGGGTTATATAATGAGAGAAAAACACCTTGAACTGAAGAACAGATGACATTTGCATAAAACTTTCTTTTACAGAAAATTTCAAATATCCAAATCAGTAACAAATCAGTCTGCAAGACATTAAACAGGCTGCCTGTATAATCAATATCCCTATGCTGATTAAATTTACATTCTAAATTAAAAACTGATCTACAACATTTGCTACATAAGTGACATTTATTAATGTTCTGCTGTATTTACACTTTTATCATAGTAAAACTCCAAGGTGAAGTACCACTTGGCTGAAAGCACAAAAGTGCACATTAAGTCTACACTTATAATGCATCACAGTTTCTGCTAACACAAATTATAAAAGCAAAAATTACAGGTATGTTAGGGATCATCTCAAAAGTCCCAAGCCAACTGAGATAGAAGAGAAAAGAAGAGAGGAGAGAGAGAAGAGAACCTTTGTTTTGCAAGGTCAGATGTCTTTTATTTTTTTATACAAAGTTGCATTGTTATCTTTGAGCTTTACATTACCCATGTGCACTGTGAAAATCCTGATATAGTCCCAAGTGTATGCAGTATGAAAGTAATATATACCCCAAGGGTTCAAATAAAGAGTATTAACCCCCCTTCCCCCTGCCAAATTAATACTTGTGCCACCTTCAAAATAATATTCTTTCATATTAATCATGCCTTAATAACCTGTATTATATATGCTGCCTTTACTTTCAGGCATAGACAGAACAGGTTATTTTCAATTTAAACAGCAGATAGGCATTATGTGCAGAAATGCAGTCATAATAAAACCATCTTCTAAACTTTTGAGAACACCCCTTCAAAACACAGTCAGCATTATACATATTATACACTAAAATATCAGATTCTGAATTCATTTTTTAAGATGGACAACAAAATAAACCAAGACTGCCCCCTACTGACTACAGGAGCATGGTTCATGCTATTCAAATGACTACAAATACTATAAGGCTTTATTAGCACATCACAGACTTGATTGCAATAGCTTTTTCAAACATTAGCCACTAATGATTCAATGATTACAGAATTCTGCATTAATTATTAAAATTTTACACCTAGAAACAAATAGAAAGAAATGCTTTTCTTTTTCAACAGTACTTTTATTTATTTATTTTAAAGCGGATGATTATTTTTTCTTCTGTGTTCAGAGTCTTGATTCACTTCCTGCAGGTGTCCTGTTATTCTTGCGGGAGAACTCATATCTTAATGCAGGAAGATATTTGCCAGAAAACATCTGTCAGAGAAGGATATTGAATATTGAAACTATAGTTAGATTGCTATTTTGGATTAGAGAAGGATGTAACTCACAAAAAGGTGCAGGATGTCTGAAGATATATGAAATGCAGTTCGGCATTAGTTATGCAATTACAGCAATGGCACAATTACCCAGTAGTTTCATGCACATTTACAAATTTCAAGTGTTCATACCCCTTTGGAACATTAAGCAACAGAAAAAAAATAGAACAATGGGCCAGAGTCTGTTCTCACTTATGCTGGCATACATCCACAATAATGCCAGTCAAGTAACTTGAGTTAAACTATTTGCACTTGAAAAATGGAGCAGAATTTGAATACAATGCTTGGTGTGCCCTGTACTCATCCCTATCCTCACTTCTATCATTTTAGCTCCCAGAAGCCCTAGTCAGAAAACAGGATACCATTGCACAAACACAGAACAGAAAGCTCTTCCAAGCTCAAATGTAGGGAACGTGGAAAAGCCAACCTTATGAAATTCTCCATCTTGGTAACACTGGCTGGAAAGTTTTACATCCATGACAGTATAAAACTAGTGCACTTACCACATAGCTAATGCTTTCTGCTTAGACACTGCTTTACTCAGCCAATTTCATGCCATTGCATACAAGGATATTTTCCAGCAGTGATACTGTCAACCATTTAAGTAGCAAATGCCCAAGCTTTGAGCTAGGTTAATTTAATCACAAACTACTTTTGGCTTTTTATAAAGCATTCCCCTATTCCACACCTCCTTTTAAACCAAAAAAAATCACCAGCATAATAATGACAAGTTTCCAAATGTGCTGTACACTTCCAGTGCTCCCCTAAAATGAAGAGGGTTTTATGCAAGAATAAGTCTACTCATTTATTCTTTTTAAGCAGTGGTTCTAAACCATTTTAGACTCGAGGCGCCCCTCAGAACATGCCAGCTTTTAAAGTCCACATACTTGTCCACTTGAACTTCTGTATGATGATACTTGATGCATCTGTTCTGTAAGTTTGAGCCAAGCTTTTCAATTTGTTTTTTCTTTTAGTTTCTCCTCATTCCCTCTTTTTGTAATATCAATTAGTACACACAGGTTTGCAGAAGATCCCATCATCAAGTTTAAATAATGTAATTTTAAAAGGAACTGCTCATTAAGGAAAGGTAAACACAGAGGATGTCTGGTTCCCATAATGTGGGGGAAAGTGGACTTTCAAGAGAAGTCTAATAAGTAACATTTTCCTTTAGTCAATGGTCAGTATTTCTCACAGCAATCGACTCAAATGAAAGTAGATCACATACAATTAACATGAGCAATTTCAGAAAGTGACACAGACAACTGAAGATCTGACATTTGTTTCAAAAAGCCACCGTTTCCAATCAGACGTGCATGTACACGCAGAGAGCTCAGTGCCATATGGGTATTCACTGCAAAGCATGGGAAAAAGAAAAGAAGGAATGGAATGAGGCTCAATCAAGGTAGGTATTTCAGGGAAAGCCAAAGAATCCCTTGCTTTTTCCAATGCAGCAGAAAGAGTTGGTTTCCATTTCTACCTGGAACTGATTACATTCATGCTACAATAATTCACAGAAGCATACAATGCAGTCAGCAGAGCTGCCTCCCAAATTGACTACTACCACTGAGGGCAAACCAGCTCTAGCCCATCCTTAAGAGAACGTTTTGGAGAACAATGAAGGAGGTCTGGGGAGAGGAAAAAGCATGGAAATAATTTCTCTATTGCTTAAATTATCAGATGAAGGTATGTGTAACCTGTGTATTATTTCTTGTTATTTTTACTGGGTGAAGAGCAATTAACTATTACTGTTAATTACACTGTTCTACAAGTAACATCATGTATCCTAGAGTTTTTGCATAGGTGCTTTTTCATTTTTTTTTTTAAAAAATCAAAACAAGCAAGCCAAAAACACAAGCCTCTCAACCCAATATTTGAGGGCCAGATCATGAGTTTATTTGAAGACAGAATACTTTAAGGCACAAGGAAGTGTCAAAGCCTTAGTTTTTGTGAATGACTAGTGGTTTTAGCTGTGCAAATTGAGACATTTTTGAAAGACTTCACTTTTCTGAAAGTGCTGAACAGTCACATTTTGAAAATCAAGGCCCTCTAAAAAGTCTCTAGTGGAGCACCCAAAAATCAATGCAGCCAAAAAAAACCCTATGTAATCAAAACTCATTTCAGTATTCAGGTCTTAAATCTTGTGCAATCAAGGAATCAAGTAGTTCCCATAAGAAATGAGGAGTTACTTTTAGGAAAGAAACAACTAATTTGTTCAGGAAGAAGAACAGAACACAAGTTGCTGTAAGTACAGAAGTCTTTACTGATCAAATTTCATCTATGTAGCTCTTCAGCTGATGGCAGCAAGCCCTTCTGTAACTCTCTGTGAATTTCAGACGCTACACTGGGAAGAGGACAAATGAAAAATTACAGTATAGAAATTCTTTTTTTTGCTTTTTGCAGACTGACTTTTCTACCATGGTCATGTAAATTCCCCTTGAATATAACCCTAAAGCCATGAGAGTTTTAAAGTTCTTTACTAAATTTTTAATGTTCTTAATTAAAAGTACAGCCTTCACTCTTCGCATATCTCTTTTAACTGGGTATCTGATTAGCTACAGAAAACAAAGTAAAACTACTTACAATTTATGCCATTCCTAGCAAAAGGAAAATGGGACAGGAAAGCAAGTCTTAGTTTAGGGGGCTAAATCTAACTAATTGCAAATTTTGTTTTTCTGCTCCTGTCTCAACTGTGACTGCTTCAGGCCTGCCCTAAGGAAATCTAGCTTTGTGCTAATACTTTAAAAAGGGATCATCACCAGGGATCCGGATATTCTGTTTCCCATGTAAAAACATGGAAAATCTGGATTTTCCCCACTGAAGTGGGAAACCATGGGTTTCCCCTTGCAGGCTGGTACAGTTCCAGCCTCTAAGGGGCTGCTCAGGGCTGGGGGAGCAGGGGAGGGCGACTGGAGGTAGGGGGTGCTGCATGTGTGCGTGCATGCACGCACATATGTCCGGAAATACAGCCAGGCTGCATGGCGGGAGCAGCCCCTGTAGCTGGATAAAGGTAAGTCTATGGGATGGGGTGGAGTTTGGAGGGCCAGGACTTGGGAATCGTCCGGGCATACTACTGGTGATGTGTCGGATGGGCATGGGGGCCAGAACCTGCACAAACAGTGAAGCATGGGGCTACAGCCTGGCTGGACTGGCACCAGGCATGAGCCACCTCTGCAGCCCAGTGGGCAGGACCTCGCATGGGAGGGCAGAGCACAGCAAGGATATTCAGTGCTGTCGCCACCACCACCGCAAGCTATGCGCCAGCCACACTGCCAAAGTGAGATGCTCCCTGCCCAGCCAGCAACTCTGCACTGCTGCCACCACCTCTGCTGCAGCCAGGTGGGCGGGGGGGCCTCGCCATGGCAGCTCAGCTGGTATGGGGGTCCTGGCAGCAGCAGCACTGAGCCTCTCAACTCCACTCTACCATTGTGCACCAGGTCCTACCCGCTGAGCTGCAGAGGCTCCCAGGAGGAAGGCAACAGGGTGGGGAGCCCACACCCTCCCTCCAGCCAGGTTTTGGGGTAGGCTGGGTGTTTGCACTCTTCCCTCTGCTCTGGCCACAGCAGCTACCACCTCCCATGTCCAGCAGCCCAGGCTCAGGCACTGCTAGCCCACTGCAGCTGGCGCCTGCAGAGCAGGAAGCAGGGAGTGGGCAAGATGCAGCTGCCTTGTCCCACAGCCCTGGAAGCTGGGGAACCCCTCTGGCAGGGCTGGGGGGCAGGGCTGCAGGTCAGGAGTAAGGGGGAACTGCAGAGATGGGGGGCTGTGGGTGAGGAGTGAGGGGCACCAGCAGGGCTGGGGGAGGCAGGGGACTGTGGGTGAGGAATGAGAGATTTTGGGGTTCTTAAATCAGAGAATTCTGAATTTTTATCAGGAAAAAACAGGATCTCTTATCACATACCACTCAAGCTGCAAAGAAACTGCATGCTTACAGATATTTCCTTCCCCTCATAGAGGGAAAGTTAATTCAAACCATTATCTATTAGGAGGAGGAAATGTAGTAGAAAGAGGCAACCACTTAAGCTTCCTTCATTAAAGTCCCACAAAAATGCAAAAAAAAGGCAAGAAAAAGGCAGCTTGCCCATGTGCAGCCCAAAAGCAGGGGAATTTTGCACCTTAAAGAAAGACCTTAAGTACTCAGGGTATTACAATATGTTACAGGCACGCAGGAGCGATTTCCAAGAAAAGGGAATATGTGTGGGTCGAGTTTCTCCCAAAACTTGGCAGAAAATTTGAGCAATATAGAAAATCCAGACAAATTACTGTTTCTGGGACATAAGCCAAAGACACTGGTACATACCTTTGCTTTGGCTACGTCTGTGACCTTGAACTGATGTTCAGGATATGCCACATGTTTCACACAAGTACTAGTTAAATGATACATCCTTCAGGGTACACAAGGAAACCAAGCAATGGGATCTGCTCAAGTATTCCAAATCCTGGATTTACAAGACTCTAAAATTCTCTATATTAAATCCTGAAACAGATATTTGATTTTTCATGGTATGTCAAATAGGATACTTGCTCTGCTGCCACAAGGAAGCTAGACCTAGAAGCATGTAGTGTATGCAAAACACAAAAAGTAAACTATCCCCCCACTTCCTTATTCTATGAAATCGCAGCAGAAAATACCTTCCCTGAAGAAGGTGCCTGATAAAGAGGGGGGAAAAGATTTACCTTTAGTAAATAAAGAGAACTCTGGTCCTTGGAAGAGTAGAAAATGTATCTGGCATCTTCCGAACCTTTGCATAATTAATAAATCCTCTGAGAAACAGCAGAAAGCCTAAAAGGAAAAAATGTTTTTGTTCATTTAAACTAAATCTATGTAATTTCCAAAATTACTGCTACTATTATTACTAATCCTGCTAGAAAAATGTAATTTTAAAAACTTCGAAGCATCCAGAAGTCAGCTAAAGAAATTTTAACTCTTGATCAGGACATTTTTTTTTTATAATCAAGTCAAGCTAGAAAAGATAATTCCATGGGAGAATAATATTTTTTATGAAACTGAGTTATGTATTTTGAAAGTTTTTAATTATGCCACTAAATATTTGGTACCAGCTGAAAAATGTACAAAGCAAGCAGAAACACATTTCATATTTTAATGTACGTTTAAAGTTCTACAAATTAAAAGTGCTATATAAGAAGTATGTACTATGTTTTGGTTTCAGAATTATGCTGTATGAATTACCTTGAAAACATGGGTGTTGGATTAAAATATTATAATCAAAAACCCTGCTACTGAGCATTTGCTGAGTAGAAATGTCCAGGAGGATCCAGGGCCAGATCCCAGAGCCTCATAGATTATAGGGGATTGAGGAAGACAAGGACCCAGGTATACCGGTCAATTAAAGAATTATCACAAGATGACAGCCCTGAAAAAGGCCAAGGCAATTCTAGGGTATACTTTCAGTACAGACAGAGAAGTACTAGTATATTTGTACAAGGCACTGTACAGTGGTTTCTGTACAAGGCACTGTTTTTTCCTACTTTCTTTCTATGGCAATGCAGTATTTTGAAGTTTTAAAATCAAGTGGTTTGAGGCTGTGGTATGTGAGAGGGGCTAAGTGGACATATTGTCAGCCTCTTGGCAAACAAAGACAATCATTCAATAAATGTTTATTAAGGACTCAACTCAATGGCCTGAGAAACCCCTACCAGCCCCTAGGTTCCTAATAAAGAGGCATTATGCGTTTCTGCTAAAAACGGTCACATAGGATTTTCAACTTTATGCATCTTTTAGAAAAGCAACACAAAGTTTTGTACCCAAATTACTTTAAAGTCAGATTTCTGTTATGTGAAAGAAAGATTACACAATATTACTTATCTGTTCAAAGGAAATGCCACTACATTTTTTATATGATTTAATGACGTCCCATGTCATTAGAATTAATTTTTTTTCTGCTTCTGTTCAGGAGAAGTTAGTCTAGTGATATTTCTAAAGTTCTTGAGACCATCTGATGAAAACACATGTGGTTCTAAGTAATATCGCTTTACATCCTTTGCATGCAACAAATGACATTTCCACTAGATGGCAACACATACACCCCAAGAATTCAGGAAAATTTGTCTTGGGTAAACATTTTAAAAGCCAAGGAAAATCAGCTGCTAAATAGGTGGGCACAAAGGTGCAGCAGAATTGTGCTGCATACATATGGGGGTTCTTTTGGGTGGTCTCTTGAGACACTGGGAGGCTAAGATGGTCACCTGTAGAAGTTTAACAGGCAGTCCCCAACTTACACTGTTTTGAGTTGCAACATTTTGCACTTGGGACATTTATAAATTGACACCCTGTTTCAATTTTATGACGTTAGTTTAGACTTTACAACGCTTCATCCAATGCAACGCCACGCCAGCGAACAAGTTTGCTGCATCGCTCATCTCCCTGGAGAACATCTGTCCAAACTTCCTTGGACACCTTTTTAAGAAAGCAGACATGACTCCAGAAACACCTGCAGCCAAGACTCCTGAGAAGACTCCAGCCAAGAACCCTTCAAATAGTCCAACCAAGAGCCTTTCAAAAAGTCCAGCAAAGTCACCTCAAAGAAGTCCTTCCAAATCAATATGATTGCTATTTACAATACAAATACATTGATGTAGCTCTATTACTCATCTATAATTGATCGCGTACAAAATTCTGGGGTATTTTTAGTGAAAACAGAGTACTGGCCCTTGGTTCAGGAACCAATCCCCCATTTATAACATTGTTTCTTCTGAGAAAATTGGTTCCGAGTTACAATGTTTCTACTTAAGAGGCTGTTTTCAGGAACCAATTGTGTCGTAAATCTGATAACTGCCTATACTATCATTTTATCCCATCATGTAAGTATAGGGAGAGAGCAGCCACAGAGTTAAAGAACAGAACTGCTCAGTTTGTTACACCTCTAGAGGCTTGTTTAAAAAAAAGGGTTATAGCTGGACACTTTGAAATAGATTTCTGATTGATACTCAGCTGACAGATATTTCAGTGCTGCCACGTTCGTCATCTTTAGAGGGTTAATGCATCTAAAAGGTCCTCCCCCACAGGTCCTTATGATGCTCCCAAGACTATGACTCCAAATGTGATTGGTTCAATAACCTATATTTCTTGCTTTTAAGTCACTTAAAAGAGTTTCTCCTGTAAGTTGTAGTACAGACTGACATCTGGCAGCTGTTAGATCAATTCCAGGCAGTTCTGCTGATCTTTAATACTTTTTTTTACTTTGCAGAGGTATTCTTTCCCACACTTACCTTCTTGAAGGCAACAGAAAAACGTAGATGCTCACATGCACGAACCTAGAAGATTTGTACTACCAGAATGAAATTAGTTATAAAAGGTATCATTTTGATTTCATTCCGCTAGGCATTTAACAACCAGTAAAGTAATATCACATTTTGCTTAAATGTAGAACATTGTAAGAACTTACCTAGCACAAGGAAAACCCACCAAAGCCAGTACTGACCATCAAAGTAACCAGGGAAATAGGTGGAGAACTACAAAAGGAAAAAAAATTAAAGGTACTTGATGCTTTCTGGGTCAATCCTAGTTCTACTGATATCTGTGGGTACCTAGATCATGGCCTTTATGCAGAAGAATAAGTGGGATTTGTAAGATTTACCTAAGAAATGGGATGTAAACACTGTTCCATGAATGAGCTGAAGTGAAGCATTTTCATTTTACAGCCCTTCCCCACAAATGCCAAATCCAAAGGCACAACTGGATGCCTGAATGTCCTGGGTGGCAGCAGTGTAGCTGCTTCTATTTGTGCACCTCCTGCACGCCCCTCAGGGCCAACATCTGGGCCTGGTGCCCCAATTACCCCTCCCCCTTTATTATGCTCATGGCCAAACCAACTGCTCTGACAATGGAGAAGCAAGCAGATCTCTGGCACCTATCTCCACCAATCCTAAAACAAGCTTATAAGAGATGACACTACTGAACAACAGAGCTTTCCACTCTTTTGCTGATTATCAGCCTCTGCAAATTTTGCAAACAATAAACAAAACCAATGAGGTTGAAGTAAGGCCATGAAGTAAAGTAAAAAGAATACTCAGACAGGAAGATCTCCAACTGGGAAAATTGCTTCCTATTAAATAAGACATGCCCTTGGCACTGACTTTATTATAGCATCAAATTTCATTATTTTGTCAGTAGTAAATTTAATTTGATCTTTTTCCATTTTTTTGAAGTTTGTATCATGCAAATGATAAACTCAATATTAATCAAATCCCCAGTTAAGGCTGACTGTCCTTATCACTTCCTTTTCATATTCCAGTAAGTAGCATTTAGGACCACTGTTACAAAGATGCCTGAAAAATCTAAGTGTTGTACAATGGAGCAAGTTAATTAAATACCCTATTGGCAATACCTCACTCCTAGCACAAGCAGATTAAGGATGAAGTGCAAGCCTTACACTGAATCCCTTTGCTTCTACTGATGTACTGGTAAATCTTTAATTTATTTGGGTTTTATAAAATAGGCTCCTTTTGCATGTCTATGTGCCATTTTTCCCAACACATCAGCATCTCACAGGCTCCACACAAGAAGTATTTGCTAAGGCAAAAATGGGTTTTACACGTTCAGAAAAAATACAGGATTAGCATTATCTATTTCTTTTAACCTATAATTCTCTTCTGTGAGAAGCAATGATTTATGTGTGTGAAAGCTTTAACTGGACCAGATGCCTGGTTTGGATACTAATAGACAAGCTTTCCAATGCAATTCATTCTTCTTCAGGAACCTGAAGCTTATCTAAGTCTATCCCAACCAGGCAGTTGGTCTGTGACAGGAGTATCAATATTGGAGCCTTTCTGGGAGTGGCTCCGCCCTCCTGTAATGGGCCAACCGCCTGCTTACTCTCCTGCCACGCCTTGATCTTATTTGATTAGAAGATGGTCGTAATCAGCAGGAGGCTGCCCATTTTTCCGCGCCCTGGTGACAGGGGGCACTACCTGCGGCTCCTTTTCCCTCCCCTACACCGCAGCCCAAGCCTCGCAGATGGAGTTGACGTGGTTTAACCTGGGCCTTGTTGTTTTCTGGCCCTCCTCTTTACTCCCGGGGCTCCACACTGCCCCCTCTTTCGCTCGTTCTGGGCCTCGCTGCCCCCTTCTCTCACCTGCTCTGGGGCTCCTCGCTGCCCCCTAGCTCCGGGGCTTCTCACTGCCCCCTAGCTCTGGGGCTCCCTGCCGCCCCCTCTTGCTCCGGGCTCCCTGCTGCCCCCTGTCACTCTGGGGCTTCTCACTGCCCCCTAGCTCCGGGGCTCCCTGCAGCCCCCTCTCGCTCCGGGGCTCCCTGCAGCCCCCTCTCGCTCCGGGGCTTCTCCCTACTGCCCCCTCTCGCTCCGGGGCTTCTGGGCTGGGGCCAATGCGCCCCCTAACAATGCTGCGCCCTCTCCAGCGCCAGGAGGCCCCACGCTACTGTGGAGCTCCTATGAGGCCTCCTCCACCCCTAATAGCCTCGCCCAGTCCTCTGGTCAAAACAAAAAACAAAGCCCCTGGGCTACAACATAAAATCTAGACCATCCGGTCGAACCCAAATCTACTCCCTACTAGAGAGCGAGGGAGTGGGGGAAGAAGGGCTCCACCAACCTCAGCAGTGACCAGGGGATGCTCTCATGGCCAGAGTCCTCCCCTCTGTCTGTCTGAGCTGAGTCCCTACTCCCACAGCTGCTGGAGAGGGACTGCCTTCCTGGCCTCCTACCTGGGCTTAAGAACGGATAAGCCCTTCCTGGTCAGCTGGTTTTACCAGTTGTCCCGGCAACCAGCACCTGTGTAGCCCTGGTGACTGGCAGCTGAGCCTCCACCTTTCTGCCACTAGGGGTCTCCCCAGAGCAGTCTCCGCTCTCAGGCACAGGGCAGCTGAGTGCACTGCGACATGGTCCAATAAAAGATATCACACACCAAAATCCTTGCCTCTCACATTTCCTGGACCATCACATCTACATCATTCCAATACTGTATGCAACTTCCTTGGCTATGCTATTTTCAAGATTATTTTCTCGCTGCAAAAAAGTAGAGGCTCACACACTTTATTACTTATGTATGTTGAGTTATAGGACCAGCTGAGTCCCCAGTACCAGCCGGTCCGAACAACCAGGTCTCTTTTTTCAACTGCACCTCACAGCTTAGTTTACATGGGCAAAGAAACTTGCATTCCTCTAGTAAACTGCTGTGTATGAAACATGGAAAGAGCAGCAGAGGGCATCAGAGAGCTCATTCTGTCTGTAGCAAGAAATGGTTGTTCAGTGGGCCTGACGAGAGTCAGGCCTTCTTGATTTTCCAATTTTCCTGAAATGAATAGGGCTCTATCTACTGATGCCTAGAACACTGCTTACTGTAGTCATATTTTGCACAAGCTACTTTTTTCTAATGGGAGAAGGATGTGTTTACAAGGTTGGGAATTGTCAGTAACATATCTGTGATAAATGAGGATAATCTACCAACAAGGTTAATCCTAGTATCTGACTGAATAACAGGACAGTGCCACAACACAAGCATGAACTGTAACAAGTGCCACATTGGGAAGCTCTAGCTCCCCTTCTCATGGCAGACTCCTACTGGTTCTATAGCAGGATGTTTATGGTTTGGGATAAGGCCAACAAAGTAAGCAAAAAGGCGAAAGAAGGCCCTGAGGAAGCTGATACATCGTGCATGCAGTAGCCCCCAAACCTTAGGTAGGAAGCCAGAGGCTGCTGCTGCTCACACAACCTACTGGCTGCTGGGGGAAAGGAGAGGTGGTCACAGACACATGCCCTCCCCTACACCCCAAGGGTTGGGCTAGGATATGATGCAATCATTCCTCAACCCCTGCTTCACACCTAGCACAAAACCCAATCACTCCGGCTTTACAAAGGATGGAAAAATTTTGCCCTTAATGAATAAGCCACCTCATTGTGAATGGAGATGAGCCATTATTAAGTAATGTACCAATACACTAAGTACTTGGGTACATGCCTGAACATTTTTTTCCACTGTCTAACTTACCCTGACAATAAGGATCCACTTAATGAGAGAGAGACCAAACCCTGAAATGGCTCCATATCGTCCTGCAGCTGAAGTGGTCAAACAGAAAGACAGGAAAAAGCCAATCCAGTTGAAGAGGAATGCCACTGAAAAAGCAAAAGGTAAAGCCATGGTCAAAGTCTCTTTATATTTTAGGTTAATACCCATAAAATAAATTCTTATTCCTTTAAAAAGCTGCTAACATTGAACTCTAGTCCCAAGTGCATAGTATTTCTCCAAACAATGTGTTGCACAATAATGAAGAGTTGGTTCTCTCTCTCTCTCTCCCTCCCTCTCTGTCCTCCCTGCCCCCATCAGGATTTCTTCACAAATCTGTAACAACAGATCTAATAGCTGATCTCCATACATTCTCTTCCCTCAATCCCCCATTTTCCCTTTTAAACTTAGCTTAAGTTCCTTCTAGGGTAAGACAGTTTAGCTATTTTATATTTTTTAAATTTTAGAAGGAGCTAGTTTGTTTACTGTTAACTCACTGCTGGCTAAATTCTAAATTTGTAGTATTTCAAACTGAAAGCAAGGGTTCATTTTATATACATATCTCTTTAAATAAGGCAAGCCCATATATAACCTCAGCAATAAATACATAAATAAATAACCGATTTTAGTTAAAGGCAGGGAGGGTCTTTGGAGCTCTTTCAATAGCTTGCTCAGCAGCATAAGTGGATGAACAGCAGGAGGAATCCTGGTCATTAAATCAGATAGGGTTAGGAGTGATGTCTTCCACAGCTACTTACAGGGGAGGAGAAAAATCAAAATTTAGCAGCCACATGGTGCAGTATGGAGCAAAAATGCTTGGCCAGCATCCCTCTTTTACTGTTATGATTCTGTAGCTAAAATTTTCAGCTTGTATTAAAATGGTTATACACGACAAAGGCTGGTACGATAAAGATGATAATGAAAAATAAAGAGATATGCCTCCACCTCGTAAAAATGAACAGCTCCTCACAATATATGAATAAGTTTAATAGGGAGCAAAAGAAAATCAAGTTCAAAGAGAAAAAGAAAAGGAGGAAAGCTTGGATTTGTAATGAAACCCTGGACCAACCTGGAGAGAGTTTAATGTGCCTGATTTCTCTCTTGGGAAGATGAGAAATCCTTCACATCCCTTCCCCCATCCCAGAACCTCTTACAAGCATATCTAATTTTTCCTGTAGCAATGAAAATGGAAGTGTTAACGTATTTTTGCTACACAGGACCTTTCATTGAGAATATGGCCAAGACTCCACAGGTACTTACTGAAGAAAGTTAGCATGAAAATTCCATCATTTCCTATCCTCAGCTGATCAGTATCATCAAAATCATCCCGTGCCACAAAGTCATCCTCCTAAAATGAAATTGAGAAAGGGGTGAGGGGAAGTCAAGTTTAATTTGATCTACTTCACACAACAAGCCTGAGCTTAGGAGCTTACACAGGCTTCACAACAAATGGTCATGAAACAGAGTTCTCAAACAGCAATGTGCCTTGTACAGTGCAAGGGCACAAAACGCTAACTTCCCATTTAAGAATTCCCTAGGCACAATGACATTTCTGCATCTGCAAGACATCAGGTACATGGGAGAGGCAATTTCCAAAAGTAATACAAGACATGACATATTGACTTGTCAGGCATGAGACCCTTTTGCAGACAGCCAAAACAAAGACACTTCCAATATCAACTATAAACCTCCCTTCCTGATCTAATATTTTCCCTCAAGGCTTAGATCAGGGGTCAGCAACCCCGGGTACACGTGCCAAGTATGACACACAAGGCCATTTTGCTCAGTACACCACCGCCAGCCCGGGCTCTAAGCAGCTGCTGCCAGCCACAGAGCCCAGGCTGCTCCCTGGGAGGCTGCAAGCCCTGCTGCATGCAGACTGGGCTCTGTGGGCCAGCTGCAACCAGGAGGCTGCAAGCAGCTGCTCTGGGCTCCAGCATGTCGGCACGCCGGCACCTTCTAAGGTAAACATTGTGTTTTTTTCAGCATTCCAGCCAAAAAAATGTTGCCTACCCCTGGCTTAGACAGTCTCAGTGAAAACTGGAAGAAGAGGAAAAAAAATGACAGATACTAGACATCTGATGCTGGTAGCTGATTAACAAAGGCTAACTGGGGTAGATAAGTATTGGGGACAATAACAAAGAAGGAAGAAGAAATCTATCCTGTCAGACAGTGGGTTTTATTATCCTCAGACCAAAAGGGCTGACCTCCACAAAGATCAGTAAATGGTAGGAATGAGGAGTTAACTAACCTGAGAGGGGGCAAAAAGTTGGACTATGACCTCTTACTTTTCAAGTTTTGTCCTTATGTGGTTGTGGGGAAAAAACATGGCTGACAGATTTACAAAGTGAGCCCTGACCTCTAAGACTCTGCCAACTCAGCTCTACTCCCTGTGTTATAACAACACTAGCATGTCTCTGAGCTCCAGGAACTCCCTTAAAAGTTTAGGTGCTTTGAGATCCCTCATGGGAGGTATTATGGAAGTGCAAATTATGATCAAGTCTTAAACAATAAGCCTGCAGGCACGAACATTGCGACTATACTCAATTCCCAAATTAATCCAAATGGCATATACCAGTTTTACTAAGAAATGTTACATCATGCCAGCTGGTCAGATAAAAAACTCTTTGAAAAATACCTTGGCCCCTTTCAAGGAAATGCTATCGTGGCACACACCAAAAAAAAAAATTGAGAGTTTTGATTAACAAGGTATTTAGGTTTATTTAGATGCATCAAATTCTCAGAAAAGACCTTTAGGAACATGCAGGCAAACAAGTCAACTTACTCGTCCAGGAACCAAAGGAATGGTAGCTTCAGCCTTAGTTCTCTCTGCTTCATCATAACTAGGCAGTGTTGTAGCCACGTTATAAGAAGGGGGCTTGGGAAAGCCTGACTCATCTTTGTAGTCAAAATATGCTACGGAAAAGAAGAAGAAAAAACCCCCTCACATTAACATAGGATACAACATGCCTCCAACTGCTGATTTGAGGAGAGCCACCACCAGCAAAAATAGCATGTAGAAGACCATACCCTTAAAAATTACCATTTTGTGGTGAAACACTAGTTTAATGTCACATGAATTAGAAACTGAAATATGCCATCATAAAAGTAGCAAAACAACTGTAAGCAGTATGCTAAGAATTTTAGAGGATGAAGGGATTTCACTCTAGAGAAAAATCAGCAGGATAGTCCTCTTGAAGCAGGAAGACTGAAAAGAAAGCTGAAACCATGTTAAACACATCTCTGCCACACACACATTCTTGAACTTTTTCGGTGAAAATACAGTGGTTCTTCAACTGGAAAGGAACAATACAGAAAGCACCAATTTAACTGGGTCTACCTAGGCTCTTTAAGGCAACACGGCTAACACATACTGTACCTCCCTTTTCCAATAAGAGACATAGAAACTTTTACATTTTCAAACTTCAAATTGTTCCAAGCCCTCTGAAGTCCTTCAGGCCAAAGGCAATCAATTTGTCAGGAAGGGGCCCAGTGTGCTTTCTGAGGGGTGAAAAAGATAGTGGAATAAAGTCAAGTGTGCTAGAACTGTGTCCTGTTCTCTCAGACTTGTTGAAGAGTTAGACCACTCAGGGGCACCTTTATGGGTACAGCACTGAATGTAGTATGTTTTATAGATTCTCTAGGAAGCACCACTCAGAAGCATGGCAGATAGTATTCAATAACCTCTCCCCAGAGTGTGCTGGTTGCTTGCAAGATCTGTGACCCTGGACATCTCCGTTTCCATCAAATTAACAATTTCTGCGCAGGGAGGAAGAACGCGGTCCACCCACTCCTCTGACCTATCTGGCAGACTGCAAAAGGTGGGCCTTTCAGGAAGACAGCTGAATTTGGGGATTACAAAAGCATAGCAAGACTGAAAACCAAATTTGCTCCAGAGACTGCCAGGTTGAGAAGGGACTGCAGAAAGGCTGTATATACATGTCAATGGGTTCCTTTTTGTATTTGCAAGGAGTAACTTCACTGGATAATTACCCTTAGCTGAGGTTTTTTTAAAATGTTTATTCACTCTCTTGAATTGAGATGGCAACAAAGGGCTACAAGGACAGGGCTGTTATTTCCTTCCAATAGCCTTCAGTTTTCCTGCAAGTTTTTCTGTATTGCTTCTATGCAGCCATTATTATTTGATTTACAAGTTTGATTTGCATTTTCTGCAAAGAAAATGTTGCTGAGAGGAATGAAGATTTTGGTTATCATCAGCACAGAAGCAATCGCTCCTCTGAGAACTATTCATTTTTACTTGGTATGATCATGCAGATGAGAAGGGTACATTATAAGCTGATTTAGTCCATCCTAATCCTCTTTATTACTGAGAAACTATGATAGATGTAATCAGAACTAGAGCCATAATTAATCTAATAATACAATGGAACTATTCAGTAACTTCAGGAAGTGCAAAATATGGGTGCAAAGTATGGCACCTTTTTCAAGGTGCTGAAATCTAGAAAGCCATGGATGGTTTGGGACTTTGTTACCTTAGAGATGGCCTTTCTACTTGTTTTCAAACATGACAGCACATAGACCCCTTGATGGGTAGTCAAGGAGAGGCACCCTCAATGGCCTATACTTGAATGTGGAAAACACTCAGAAGGGGGATGAAAAAGGTCTGACAGCTTGGGAGATTATAAATGGAAGTTTCATATTTTAGGACAACATTTTATCAACTCGATCTGAAAAATATTTTTTTGTTTTCAACTTTTCCAGGGTCTCAATCTGTTCTATTCATTATATGCTCAGTTAGCACAGAATATACACAGGATAAGTGAAATCAGGTAAGTATGGCCTTACTCCTAACATGATTCCTGCACTACGTAGAGAATAACTGCCATAAAGTTATCTGAGATGAGCATTTTTCCACATCATCAGTTCCAGCCATTTCCTTTTCCATGACTGCAGACAAAAGGTATTTAAAACACTGTACCATATTCAAGCATTTGTATACTCATTAAAAAACATAATTTAGCATTATAACCAACAAAGGAGCTCTGAGGACAAAAATAGTAAAGATACCTCAGGTAGAAGGAACAAGCCCTGTTCAAATGTCAGATCATTAGAGACAGACCACAACTCCTCACAGCACTCAAATGTTACCCTCCTTCTCTACACTGGGAGCTCTGTGAAATGTAAACTGAGCACCATTTTACCAGGATGACATCAGACAACTGCCAAAGTAAGTTTTATTCCAAACCACAAGTAACTATGATCTGTTTCGATCCAGTCTCGTCCCTCTACTCTTAGTCAAGCAAGGAGAGAGTACCTTCCCATAAAACAAACAAGGGCATAAGAAATAAGAGAGTAAATAAAAACACCTATTCCCTAGTTGCTGGCTTTACCTGCATTCTCTGCAGAAATGCTGCTGTAGGGTGGAGGGGCATCATTCACAGCTGGTGCAGTCTCACTAGGCTCCTCCTCATTCTGCAACTGAACAGAAGTGGTATTTACAATTTAACAGGGCTCAAAACACAGACAAGAAAAGTAAATGCACCCCCCTCCCATGAGCATTGATATACCTCATCCAGACATAACAGCACTGGGTGACATTCTAGCTGCTAAATTACACCTGCGTGTCCATACTGCTCTTACCAAACTACTGCACAGCATCCTGTAACACCATTTGAAAATGTACATAACAAACTTAGTTCCGGTTAAAATTAGTCTACATGGTAAGTCCCTTTACACGTCAGGTTCCACAGCACGGGTGCTTCTGGTTCCCACTTCCTCTGCACCAGCTAGCTGCAAACAGCAGTTGCATCAAAAAGGAGGAAATGGCAGGAGAGACTCAACAGAACACTCCGTGGCTCACTGTGGCTGTACTAAGAAAACTTGCGTTCAGGCAAGTTACCCAAAATAGGCTGCCTGCCTGTCTGTCAGTCATGCAGTGGAGGAGGAGGAGCAGCAGCAGCCAGGGGCGGGCAAGATTTGTCTACACCTTCTGCTGTGGATTGGTGCTTCCCACATACAGGCCATGTCTACACAAGACACTGACTGCGCAGTAGCTTGTTACTACTGTGCAGTCAGCATTACCTAAAAGCCATTCAGTGACCCTAATGCTTTAGTCCTTATGTATGCAAGTACTAAATGACTGTGTGGTAACAACTGTGAAGTCACCATCTTGTGTAGATGCAGCCAGGGAGTACAAGCAGCCAGAACATTTATCTAATGCTCAATGTCTAGCTTGTATTAAGTTCAGATGCAAACATATTCTTTGATCAAACAAGCTGACGACACTGGTTTACAAGCATTCAACACAGAATGTATTAGACCAGTTTATATGCATCAGCCATCATCTACTTTGTTCTTCCCACTGACATCACTGAAGCAACAAAGAAAATGTATATTTACATAGAAAACTGATTCCAAAACATTGCTTTGGGACTGAACCACTTGCCTTGATCCACAGCTATTCTTTCCTGTCATCATAATTAAGTGACAACAACACTCCAAATAGCAATTCCTTTTTTAACATCTTCAACTACCCTCCATACATACTAATGCCAATATCCCTGAAGCCGCCTGTGACATTTTCTTCTTTTTCTCTACTGAGACACTTACGACCCCTTTTCAAGATCCAAGTACTTCCCAAGTATTAAAAAGCCCTTTTTCTTCCCAGCTCAGCCTGCAGAACTAGCAGTTTTATTTCTTTTTTTTTGGTTGGGGTTTCTTTCTTCATTTGCAAATTCTTTACCAGGAAAAATTCAAGTCTCTGCTTTAGATGAAGGTTCAGTTTTATTAAAGAGACATCTGTGTCTTGTGTTCAACATACGGTTTATTTTTGTTAGACTTAAGATCAAAAATCTAACTGCTTCATGTCCTTCCTGAAGCCAAACCCAAATTATGAAGGACTGAATTTTCAGGTAAGGTACATGTGCAATTGTTGCAAGTACGCACATGTCTAGGTCATTTGGAAAGTCAGGCTGTAAGCAGGCTGCCTTGCTGGCTGGCTTCTCCAGGTGGATATTGCTCCCCAAGGAGCTCCTCAGCCAGTTCTCCCAAATAAGACACAACAAGCAAACACACAAAACCAAATCCTGCTGCCCTGTCCTGGGCACTAGTAGGAGAGGAGCCCTTCCCAGCACAACAGCCTGGCCTTTCTTTGTATCACGCTATTTTGCTCACAAAATCTCCTGGGATTATTTTAAAGCTCCTAGCAGGACAGTCACTGCCTATCTAAATGCCCCCACCTTTCTCACCAAGGCTGACCAATCCCTCTGAAAGAGGCAGACCACCCTGTTACATGGGACTTAGAAGCTTGTTAGAACATAAATTGAGCCAGGTTCGTTATTATGATTAAGTGGAAACCTGTCTGACTAATTCAGGTATGCCACTGCCATGTCTGCGCATACAAAACAGGTGAATATGAATGAAAATAGCTAATTAGGCACAATAGTTCTACCAAGGACTTCAAACCTGCATGCTTGATGCGAATTTGTGATCTACGAGCCTTCAAAAACTACTACCAGTTTGACATAGTGGCTTTTAACCTTTTCATTAAGCCTCCAATTTCACGTCCCCCTCCAACTTCGCCCGATGTCACTTTGCCACCTACTGAGATTCTCCTTGGTTTAACCACAGGAAAAGGACATGGTAGTCGCAACTCTCAGGCTGCAAAGTCCTGGTCTTACACATGATGGACATGAATAATTTCTCTTAAAAAGAGAAGGCAGTGAAGTAGTCAGGGTCCAAAATTTGACCTGTAGTTTATAAATAAAGAGCTTTTCCCACCTTTCCTGTTCCAGACAGCAAGGAAGAAGGATACAAAATTAGTATCAAATTTAAAACACTTTACCCCAGTAGAATTTAACCCACAACCTCCAGCTGCAAGCAAGTAATCCTATTCCTTCAAAGTATATGCTAAGGCAAGGCGTGCAGGATACCTGACTGATAGCTACAGCTGTGCTAGTCACACAAAGCACAGCTAGATCAATAGGACAGCAGCAGCCAATGCTACTGTAACACTATATGCCTGTTTATTGCAAATCAATGTTTTAAATCAAAGGCAAATCATCTAACTCATCATCTGTGCTCATCAGTACCCAATCTGCACATACAGACTAGATATTTGTGAGCACAAATGTGGGGAAATCCTTTTGACAAGCTGACACCATAAAATTTCCCTGTACACCTACAAGGTAGGGACAAGAATACAAACGTAGTTTCCTAAAGCCATGTCTATTCTCAAAAGTATCTTCTAAGACCGTGATGCTGGTTAAGGAGATAACATCTTTTTTAAACCAGCAAAAAATCTACTGCACACACATACCAGGAAAGCAGCATTTTTGCTGGTATTGTTTAATTTATACAGGGGATGTGTATATGCTATACTAACAAAACAACTCCTAACTGGCATTAACGTAGCATCAAACATTTTCTGCGCAGATCTGGCTTTCATTATCTGGGACTACCTGCTTGCCTCTTACAAAAGCACAGAGAACCTCTGTTACTGTCAGACAGTAAATACCTGTGCTGCATTTGAGTGAATATGCTGAATTGAATGATTTGGCTTTAACCATGAAATTGATGAAAAACAAACAACTATGTGTAGCTAGAACAGAACAGTCCTAATACAACTAATAATAAAAGATAAGCAATATCCAGATTTCAGGTGGGAAACAAAAAAAATGTTAAAAGAACTCTCAAGACTGGACAGTACAGTCCTTCTTGAACAGGAGTGGGCAATTATTCCCCCCCAGGGGGAGGGCTGCTTAACAACTTTTGGTGAGCTGTCAAGGGCCAGAAGGGTAGCCCCCCCCATCAACAGGTGCCCTACCCTCTAACTGCCATCTTGGGACCAGAAGTCCTATCCCCTAACCCCCTAAACTTTCCCACTAGAATTTTCTCCCCATGTCCCCAGAAGTACTCCATTGGGGGGGGGGGGGCCATCTTGGAGCCAGAAAAAAAAAAAATCATATTCTAAAAATCAAATGTCTACTATAACATATTTTAATTGTATTTCAAAAAATATTTTTGTCCTGTTTTGTGTGTGCCTTCATTTTACATATAAAGGTGACTGCATAATAGCTCAAAATAATCTTACTCTTGTATATTGTGTGGGGGGGTGAGTATGGGGCGTGTGTGTATGGAGTTAGTGCAGGGGTGTGGAGGTGGGGTTTGTTGGGGCCCTCGTAAAAGGGTGGGGGCATGTGAATGGGGTGTGGGAGGATGGGTGTAGAGTATGTGTGTGGGTGCAGGGTTTGTGGGCAGATGTGGGCCCCCATGGTGCACAGACCCCGCAATCAGCAGCAGGCCCTTGGGGTGCTCATGGTCCACAACAGACAGAGCCCCTCCCAGCAGCATTCGGCTCCAGCTGAATCTCAGGAGCTGCATGTGACAGCATGGAATCAGCCCAGCCCACTGGCACGAGCCTTCAGACCAGACCAGGCTGGCTCCATGCCAGCACATAGGGCTCCTGGCACTGCAGGCAAGAGCTGTTTGCCACTGGGTCAGGCTGGGCTGGCTCTGTGCCTCCACGTGGGGCCTCCAGCACTCTAGCAGGGAGCCACACATGGAGGCATGGAGCCAGCCTCCACTGATGGTGTGTGACTCCCCCAGCTCCTGATTCACGTGCCATCAGGCCAGGTGGTCGCTGTGCCACGTGTGGCTCCCAGCTGTCCTTCCAGGAGCTACATGCCATTGGGCTGGCCAGGCTGGCTCCATACCTGCAGGTGCAGCTCCCTGTTGGAGTGCTGGAAGCCCCACCTGGAGGCACAGAGCCAGCCTGGCCCAGACCAGGGATGCATGGCCCCCACCTGCAATGCCAGGAGCTCCATGTGCTGGCACAAAACCAACCTAGTGTGGTCTGAAGGCACGCACCAGCAAGCCAGGCCAGTTCTGTGCTGCCATGTGCAGCTCCCAGGATTTGGCAGGAGCTGTGCACCTCTGGGGGGTCTGCCTACCGCAGGCCATAAGCGCCCCGACAGCCCACCACCTGCTGCTGCTGCCACTGCTGCCACGGGCTGTGCACCATTGGGGACAGAGGGAGAAGTGTGGTGAGGGGTCCTACACCCATCCAAAAACCCCACACCCACCCCCCGCTGCAGGCAGGAGCTCTCCTCCCCACTCACCAGCTGTCCAGTCCATGCCATTGCACTTGGTGCCTCCACATGGGGTTCCCAGCTGGAGTGAAAGGAGTCCCACAGAGATGGAGACACAGAGCCTGCCCAGTCTGACGGCATGCAATGTCTGAAAGCCCATGCCTCCCACCAGCTTTCAGAGGGCCAGCCAAGGGCTGGTAATAACTGTTTTTTGGAAGGGTCCTGCAGACTGGACAGAATGGCCTGGTGGGCTGGATCTAGCCCCTGGACCATATTTTTCCCACCCCTGTTCTATAGTCTAACTGAAAACCAGAACACACTCCAATTCTAATTGCTACACTGTGTTCCACCCCAAAAATGTCAAAACTACCATCAAGAAAAGCCTCCTGTTAAAAACACAATTGCAGCAACTGG